GAAGCAGGAAACAACTGATGCTGCGGGTCAAGTCCAAAGGCCACCTGACACACATTTCCTCCTTGCTGGAGGGTGGAATGGCGGTCATCTTTTGTTCTATTCAGGCCTTCAACTGATTGGAGGAGACCCACTCACATTATAGAGGGCTGTCTGCTTCCTCAAAGTCCACTGATTTAAATATTGTCATCCAAAACACAAACATCCAGGATAATATTTGACCAAATATTCATATTCAGCACCTTGGCCCAGCCAGGTTGACAACATAAAATTAATCATCACACTTTATCACTGGTTTTGAGAAATTTTATTATATGTCTTCATTGTAGCTTGTTCTTATCTCTTTCTTGAGGTTTAATGGGCTTCTTGGATTTGTTGTTGGTAGTTTTAAGTTTAAATACATTTTAGACCTTATTTCTTCAAATATTTTTTTCTGTCCCTTTCTCCATCCTTTACTTTCACAGACTCCAATGACCCATGTTTGGGGACTTGAAATTGTCCCACAGTTCATGTTGCTCTTTGCACTTTCCATTTTCTTCTCCCTTCCTCAACACTTTGGACAGTCTCTAATACTAATGGCCTTCAAGGTTATTACTCTTCACTTCTGCAATGTGTAATCTGCTGTGAATCCTATCTGGTGCATATTTTCACCTCAGATACTGTAGTATTCACCACCAGAAATTTTATATGAGTCTTTTAAAAATCTTCCATGTCTCTACTTAACTGTATGAACAGACAGAATTCAGTTATAGTAACAGCTTTAAGTCTTTCTTTGCTAATTCCTTTGTGTCAGTTTTGAGTCAGATTCAATTGATTTTTCTTCTCACTATAAATCATGTTTTCCTGCCTTTTTCGTGGCTGGTAATATTTTAACGTCCAACATTGTGAATTTTGCCGTAAGTGCTGGGTAATTCTGTTTTCTGTAAATCTCCTGCAGCTTTGTTCTAGGATGCATTAAAGTTAGTAGGAAACTGAGCTTTTGGTTTTGTTAATATGATTTCCTAGGCGAGTCTAGAGCAGTGCTCAGCTTTGGGCTGACTCCAAAGGCAAGAACCTCCTGAGTACTCTGCCCAGTACCTTGTGAATTATGACTTTTCCAATCTGGCTAGTGGGAACAGCCCTAACTTTCAGCCTTGTGTGAACAAGGTTAAGCACTGAGTAATTACTCACAGTAATCCAGGGATACTCAAGGGAGACCCTCTGTAGAGCTCCAGGGTTCTCTCCCTGTACAACTCTTTCCTCTCCGTTACTGTGTCCCATGAACCCCAGCTGCCTTGGTCTCTCCAACTCTTGCTCCATCTCAATGTAGGGAGTCTACTGAACTCCACCTCAGTTCCCCCTGGAAGCGTGCCATGGCTGAGGAGCTCTCTCAAGGCAGTAAGCTGGGGTAAATGCAGGGCTCAGCCCATTTGTGTCTCATCTCTCAGGGATGACTATGCTTTGTTGCTTCATATTCATGTTCTTGAAATCAGTTTCATATTTTGTCTGTCCCCCAACCCCTCCCCCCAGTTATTTTAAGTGAGAGGGTAAAACCCATTCCAATTATTCCTTCTTGACAGAATCAGAAATCCTCACTCATTCTTGCTGTCACTGCCTCTGTTGAGCATCTTCATCTTTCCTTCCCTCTGACCACCACCTTAATACCTCCGTCCATCACTAGCAGGCCCACACAGCACTTATCCTTTTATAAAAACAAAGTTCCTGGACACTGCTTCCTCTATTGCTGTCTACCTTCTTGAAAGAGCAGTCTATATGCAGTCTTAGCTAAGGGGCCAAGAGTGAAAAGGACGGTCTATATACTATAATTTCCTCTGCTTGCTCACCACTCCCTCATCGCTCAGGTTTTGACTCTAATACTCCGCGCTGAAACCTTTCACTAATGGCCATAATGTCATCACACCCAAAAGCCGTTTCTCAGACTTAAGACTGATGATTATTTAAGCCAATTATTTTGGCTTCTTATTCATATCTGACTATATGATACCATATAGAACAGCCTGGCTTAGAGTCCCTGTCTAATGCAGATGCTAGAATGTAAGCTCCAACATTTGTCTATTAATGCATACTCAGTGCCTAAATCAGTGGCAGTCATGTAACAGGTATTCAACAAATATGGGAAGAAGGAATGAAACATAGTTGGTGCTTAGCACCCTTCTTCCTTCTACCACCCATCATCCCTTGACAATCTCCAAACCCACAATTCAGTTGTCTGTCAAATCCAGATCCAAACTTTCTCTAGTCAGCTTGTCTTTTGTTATTTGGATCATTGTTGAAAGTACTGCCAATACCTCAAAAGTAGCATGTCCAAAGCCAAATTCATCATTTATCTTAAAATTGCCTGTCTTGTTCTCCGTACTTTCTACAATTCACTCAATCACTAGGCTAGAAATTAGGGCACCCTTCACTCTTATCTCTTCCTTTCCTTCCTTCCTTCCCTCTGTATTGGTGACAGACATTGTATGACTGTCACTCTGATGGCATCAATCATATCTGCCTCTAACTCTCCATCCCCACAATTACAGTCCCCACTGGATCCACTCTCCATGGTACACGTCTTAGAAGCTCCTTCAGTGTCAGGTCACCACACACCCTAACCTCTGTGTCCTTGGCCTCAACCCAGTAAGATCTCTGTTCTCTGAATGCTCCCTCTCCTCCCTCTCCTCACTCCGTTCCTCTCTGCTCAGGTACTCGTCATCACGAGGCCCTTCTCAAATGTAACATCCTCTATGCCTTCTTTGACTCCTCACATTAGAAATGACCACTGTTAGCTTTCTCATTTTCATCATCAAGTACAGCACTTATCACGCTGTCTTAACACCTGGCATGCAACAAGTATCAAATGTCTGTCATTAGAAAACTTATGTTCCTAACCTGGGTGTAAACTTCTTGCTGCCAGAGACCTTCAAAAAGGCCTCCAAAAAGTCACTGTGCCTGGTTCAGGATGATGACAACTTACAGAAGCTTGATATCCAAAACGTTAGGCAACTTAACATCTAATGTATCAGAAAAATCAACTAGCACACAATGTAACTATTGGTTCCAGTAAAAGGAACATGTTAAAAATTTAATAATGATATAAAACTTATAATTTACAAATAATTATAGTATTATTTTTAGATAATCTTTTACATTACAATTCAAAACTGCTTTTCTAGCAAGAGTGCTTCTGATTTATACCTCTGGTTAAGTGAAGACGACTATATTTTGTATTACTTTTACACATTTTAGGGAATGGTATTTTGCTTGGGAAGAATTACTAAGTTAATAAGGTCTGTATAATTTCATAACCCATTTCTCCAAAGATATCCACAATTTTGCCAACAATCAGCAAATACTACTCTCATTACGAATCCTAAGCCTTAGGTACAGCTAAACTTCATTTGAAGACTTGAACTGGCGCCCCTACCTCTATCACTAGCTGGGCAGCAACAGCCACGTCACTGTATCTTTAAGCCTCAGATGATTTAAAGACAGAATCTGGAGGGGGAAAAAAAAAATCTTACCTGCCATGTAAGGCCGTTATAAGGCGCACAGAGTTTTGATGCTTCATGCAAAAACAGAATTCAAGTTACTATTGCCTCCTATTCACTTAAAAAACATCTGGAGCTATGCCCAAAGCTTGTGCCAGGTTCTGGGTATATACAGCCAAATAAAGTGTGCTATCTCTGCCCTTAGGATCTTACACCCCAGGCTGGGGGACATAAATGTAGCCAGCAGTGCTGTAGGCACGAAATAACAGAAATACAAAAATACAGACAATGTATAGTGGGGGAGAAGAGCTCAGTTCTGTCTCAGGGAAAGGGGAAACAGGAATGGCTTCACCTGAAAGGCCAGTCTTGAGCTCTGCTCACCCTCTGTCATCTCAACCAATTATCATAAACACCTTTACTCTTTTCTTCATCCTTTATTTCTTATTATTTTTTTTAAGATGTACTTATTTGAGAGAGGGTGGGGGCGGAGGGACAGAGGGAGAGAGAGAACCCCAAGTGGACTCCCTGCTGAGTGCGAAGCCTATTTCCAGGACCCTGAGATCATGACTTGAGCCAAAATCAGGAGTTGGCCACTTAGCCGACTGAGCCACCGGGCACCCTCTTTCCTTCATCCTTTAATGGTGCTCTCTCTATTGCTTTACAAGTCCACAGTTTCTCATCTACATTTCTAAAATCTGAAAAGCTCTAAAAACCCAACTTACCTGATGGTAAATCCTGACCCTAACTGAGGTAAGGCTCTTCTTGGTCATCAGTATTTTTCCTACCTGATAGGAAATCCTAGTTAATGATTCCATTACCCACCTATCACCTAAACCAGGACTTGAGTCATCTCTGGCTTCGTTCTTGCTCACCATTCAAACCCAATCAGCCACTAAGTGAGCTCTCACTCCTTCTTCCTTGTGGTGAGGGCCTGTTTTGCTCATTGTGCGATGTTTGGTGGCATCCTGGGCATCCACTCAACAGAAGCCAGTAGCCTCCTCCCCTACTTGTGACAACCCAAAGTCTCTCCTGATTGAGAACCACTGCCTAGACTGACTTCTTGGCCATGTCTAGAAACAACATAACCTGATCAGTGGTTCCTGCACTGACTCTCCTCCAGACAGGAGCTCTGAGGAAAGAAGATTCAGACCATCAGGTGAACCGTTTAGGGAGTGTATGACCAACACAAGTAGGCCAGAGTGACTCCTCAAGGGAGACTAGCACTCAGTGAGCCTGACAGGAAGCTATTTTGTTACAGTACTAGAATTCCAGGTTTCAGCGTTAGTTTGTACTAATATTCTCCTGAGCTTGACTTGTCCAGTGGCATTGAAATATCCAACTAGAGAGATACAGGGTACAGAAACTTAATGCCTCTAACCCCCTACTCTACTTTGAAAAACAGAACACCCAAAAATAAACTGACTGAAGCATTTAACCACAAACAGAAGAGAGAGGTCCCACAAATAGCATAAGAAACCAGAATATTTGAGGGGTGAAAAAGAGAAAGGGGTAGAACCCTGGCACAGTACCCACCTGTGGTCGACACGACGTTCTCGGGGCTTTCACTGCAGAGCTTTGACAACAGACTGGTCTTGCCAGAGCCTGTGAGGCCTATGCAAACCAGGTCATATTCAGGTCGTGCGGGTGGTGGTCCCTTGCAGCAGAGTGCTCTAAAACACTGCCAAGAAAGGGGGAAAATGGGGCTCTTTTAAATAAGACAGGACACAAAGCTTAGTAACATTTATAATGACTAAGTATGAAGTAATTAAATAACTTATTCATTATAAGGAGGAAAGGTAACTTCAAGGTGGAGAAACCCAGAAGACATCACCTCAAGTGATCAAAGTTAAGGAATGAGAGCTACGTAGACCTCACGGCTCCCCTCCTGCTGCGACAGGCACCCTGTGAGGAGCATGACATCCTCTCTCAGCTTTCCTGCCAAAAATGCACAGCCTGAATCCAAGCATGAGACAATTTCAGACAAAACCACTCTGAGGAGCATTCCACGAGACAGCAGGCCCATTCTCTAAAATCTCAATGTCTTAAAAGTCAAATGCTGAGGAACTGTTCTAGGTTTGAGAAGACTAGAAACAGGATAACCAAATGCAATGCCTTCTGAATTGGACCCATGGAACAGGTGGAGGAAAACGGCAGAAGTGAGATTTGGACAACAGGTGAGGGCTGCCTAGCAACTGCATAATAGATAGCAGTGTTGCATGAGGTCATGCTTCCTGAATTTAATCATTGTACTGTGCTTTATAAAAGGAAAATCCTTGTTCTGAGAAAACATGTACTAATCAAGTATTTAGAGATGAAGGGTCTTGACGTCCATAATTAATGGGTTAAGAAAATTTCTAAACCTGTGTCCATCATCAGCTCTATATGGTGAGGACTGTGATAAAGCCAACGTGGTAAAATGTTAATGACTGATGAAAATTCCTTCTGTTAGTCTTCCAACTCTGGTATTATTTGAGAATAAAAAGCTTTTACAAATCATTCAACGGAGTCCCCGTATATATCACTGCCATTTTGACCTGGGCCAAATTCTGTTTCAGGTCAAATGACCTCAGGATACTATGAACTGTTGTACAGTTTGGGCATAGCAAGAACCTGTTTGCTCTGCAAGAGTTAAAGGCAGGGAGATTTAGGAGACTGGAAATTAGGTAGTTTATGATCTTTCTACTTATTTGACATTCATTTATTAGGGGCCAATTATGTGCCGACTTGTAGAGCCTGAAATATTTAGGTCCCCGATAATTCAGGAGAGAAAAAGAGGGAGAGGGAGAGAGACCTACTGACTGCTAGATCATCTGGAGATCATGAGAGAAGAGTCCTATAAAAAGTCTGTGCTAATTCTCATTCAGATAAAATCTGAGGCCTAATTGGCTCTCATAAGTCAAGCTTGACTGGTTTTCTCTCATATTTCTCCTACCTAGTCACTCAATAAGTCCATACCTCCTCTGAAATAGCTCTAGAACTTGTCCACTTCTCTCTAGGCCAAGCCACCATCACCTGGACAACACCAACATTCTCCCACTGGTCCCAGTATATTCACTCTTGCCCCCTGTTCTCCATGACAGCCACCATGATTGTTTATAAAGATGAAATCTGATCTTATCTGTTTAACCCCCTTCAGTGACCTCCCACTGTTCTAGGGTCCAAACCCTTATGATCTACAAAGTCTTCCATAATCTGTTCCACCAACCCCCACCAACCCCCTCACTTCCACCTAGCCTCTTCTCCCACCCCTCGCCACCCACTCCTCCCTCTACTCTGCCCCCCAGCCACACTGACCCTCTCGCACCTCCCCGCACTCCCAGATGCCATTCCCTCTTCCCCTAGCTCTTGGCTCAGTGAACTTGTCAGCTTTCAGGTCTTAGCTTCAGCACCCCTTCTCCACGGGCACCTGATCTGATCCTTGGAGAATGTTAGCAATTTGGTTCAAGCTCTTACGGCACATTTGTCAAGTCACCACACCGGCCATCACAGTTTCCTATTTAGCACTAAACCACCTCTTTCCATCTTCATCCCAGTGTCCCCAGGGCTTAGCGGAAGACACAGCATAGACTCTATTTTCAATGAATAAATGTCGAATCAAGAACCCACGACACTGACATTTCACCTAAGGGGGAAAAAAAATGTAAAAACTACTAGGAAGCTTCATCTATTCTTTCCCGGAACCCTCACATTTCAAGAAAATAGTATCAAAGTAAGAGTAACCCTTGACCCTTTCAGTTTCCTTCAATGCCAGAAGTCAGTCCAGTTTTCAAGAGTGATTTTGCTGTACAGGGTCTACTTGCCCAGTATAACAGAGCTTTTGCTGTCCTCAGTTCACTTCTCGGCTTTTAAGAGGTTCTGCCTACTTCTGGTAAACAATTCTATGATCACCTAATCCATATTCTTCACAAATTTATTAAACTCTAATCCTATTTCCGCTCCGTCTTTTCAAGCCTGAGGAGCCCTAATTATTTCAGTCTGCGTGCATATAGCAACCCCTCCTACTCCCTCGTATTAGTTGCTGTTCTTTGGCATTATTTGAGTTCCATTATGCCTTCTCCTACAAAATTAATGACCACAACTATAAAGAGCACCCTAGATGCCAACACATCACATCCTGGATTTGCATGAAGGTTGGTTGATAGTGTGACTTCTTGCAGACTTTATCCCCGAGTCTCCTGGACTCATGGTGAGTTTTTCGAAGAAGCAGATGTATTGCATATGCACGTACATGCATATACACATGTGTTCCCTCAAAAGAGGACCACTGACTAGCAGCTATTCACTTGGGAGAGTTCTGCCATGTTCAACTACGTCAGGCGACACCACTAATCACACTGTGGTTTCTCTCATTGGGCTACTTTGATCTTCACTGGGGAAAGAAGGGAGAGCCCCTATTCCTGCTCCCGACTGCCCCTTTCTTGTTCAGCTCCTCTCCCAGAATTCCCTCAGACTATCTCCTGGAGGGAGATTGACCCAACTATCCTGGTCCAGTCAATCAAATCTTAAATACAAAATAAAATTGTAGGTGATTGCTATATTGCCCTGTTTAAGTTATTCATATACCAGTATTACTCAACATAACTTTGAAGTTACAAAATTTCACCTTCATGCTCTTTTTAAAATCCAGAATGTAAAAACGTTTGCAGCCAAACTCATTAATATCTAGATCACCTGTTAATTTTCTCTAGGTCACCAAGACACTTTGGACATGAAAAGCAATTTAGCAGTGACACTGTAATCCACGTGTATGTTTCATCTCCTCTCTCTAGATTCTCCACAGTGATATTTAAGACACCTAACGTGACATCTCTCCTCTCCCCCCCAGTCTCGTTCCTGAATTCCAGGCTCTGTATTTTCAACTGTTCTGGAAGAACCCAAACTTAATCTGAATAAAACAAAAGCCTTCCCCCAGCCGCCCCAAAACACAGTCTATGGAAATCAGGTATTTTGGAACACAAAAGGCATAAAGGTTAGATTGACAATCATTACAAGACAGAATCTTTGAAATAAATCACAGAACCTCTGAATATTTATTTGAAATAAATAAATCCTATGCTTGGCAGGAATAGTGTCAGATTTTGAGCCAACAAAATAAGGCTTTTAAAAATATGCTATTTCAAACGGGAAAAGAATGTTCATGTTTTTTGAGTCAGTTCCTAAAAACTGTACAGTCGTCACTTGTTTTTCATTTTAAAACTTAATGAAGCTTTGGATCTCATAGTCAATTTACTTAAAATTACTCATTTTGGCCTCTAGACTATACTGTACCAAAGTTCATTGTGTCTGCCTCCTAAAGCAGCTCTCGCATTGTTAGGAGTAAGCCCCTTTCACTGCTGTACAATGCTAAACACAATGCCGGCGGCAGTCCTGACAGCAAGCGGCAAACTCAGGCTTCATTCCCAGGCCAGACACTAAGGCATTGTGTGACTCTGCTCAGGCTCCATAAACCTATCCATGCTTCAGTTTCCCCATGATTAACCAGTAACGTTTCAACACTCTCTGCCACTTCCTTTCTTCAGGAGGATGTTGTGAGGCATCAGTTCAATGCATTTTGCTACAAGAAAGGCACCATACAAATAAATAACTGTTCATCGGGATGCTTATTATCCTAATGTATCCTAGGTGAGAGTTTCCTTGGGCAAGGGTCTGGCAGCCCACATGCTGGTACCTCCCTTCGCCGACCCACAGCGGCTTCCACAGGCTCCATCCCCTTCCACTCCAACCCAAGACACTACAGACACACAACCCTTGGCTCTCACTTGCAGCAGGGAACAGAGAACAGGGTGAGTCTGCATGGTAACTATGGGGTGGGGGGAGGGGGCGCGCACGTGCGTGGGCAACTAAGGTCATGGTTTCTTGTCTAGACTGCTTCAGTTCACAGGTCTTTTCACATAGGGTCTGTTCTGACTTGTTCCTTTTCAAAAGGACCCAGTGTATCTGGGATGCAGGATGTCTCCCCTTAGCATGTGTCTATAAGCTGCTACCGATGCCGTATGTGAGGAAATCACAGTGTGGAAAGGTCTTGAGAGAGGGCAGAGACCAGAATCACCAGAAATCTGTGTCGTAGGCTTCGGACAAATCATATAATCATGTAATCTTTAGCTCAAAGGTGGACTAACTAAAAAGATAAACAAAAGCCTTAGCAGTATTTGCTTAAAGGAGAATGATCACGTGTACAGCGGGGGCGGTGTGTGGGGGGGAGCCAAAGATTAAATTGTGAAGGTCAAATGAGAACTTGCATTTCAAATGGGTGGCCTAGCACCAAGGCAGCAAGATGATCTTAAAATGTCCCCATTTCCGTCGGGGACAGTGGCAGACGTCTTGGCAGGCCTGGTAGAGCACCATACACAATAGGTACACAGTGAGTAACTGCTCCACGAACTGGCACTCTAAAGCACTAATTCAGCACTGAACCATAGATCTTATTTCCCTCTCCATCTCCCCCTTAATGGCCCCGGCTACCATCCCAATCACTCACTAGTTCCTCCAGCAGCCTGGGCACTTCATGCTCAGACTGTGCGCCCGCAGCAAGGAAGGCTCTTCCCACTCATTTCTACTTGGCAAATTCCTATTCAAAGTTCTGCTCAGATAGCACCTCGTCTGGGACGTCTTCTCCAGTTCCCGCAGAGAATTAATCCTTTCTTTCCCTCCCAGGTCTGTTACACACACTTCTATCGC